AGACGTGTTTTACAATGTGTAAATCGAGCCATTTGAGGCAATGCCTATTTTCACATTTTTTTTCTATTTTCGGAATTTTTTTTTTTTGTTGTGACATATAATTTCCTCCTTCATTAATTAGTTACATGTATTAACCTATGAATATGACATTTTAAAAAAAAATTAGAAACGTAGAATAATGTTCTTCAATTTGAATGACGCAAGTTATTTTTTTCCTTGGTTTTATCATATAAATGGATGAGAATTGAGATGGTAGTTGGAATAATGAATCTGTGAAATGAACACATCACAGCTCGAATTGTGGGTCAAACTTGTAGCTCAAATGGACTCCGAAAACACTAACTCCAATTCCAATTACAATTCCAATCAAGATTATTCTAACTCTAACCATAACTTTGACTCAAATTGTAAAACTTTAATCGGTAAAGTGAACACACCCTTAATATTATTAAATAGGTATCTTGAAATTTTAAAAAACTTCTTATCAGTGCCCTAAAGGAATATATATATATATATATATATATATAAAAGGAAAGCCCTTTCAGAGCCCAAAAAAAAAAAAAAATCAAGGATAACAAAAAAGTAAGAAAGCCCCTTGATTTGAGCATTGAGATTTTGGCGTAAGATTTGATAAATATACGATTAGCGATTTTTTTTTTTATTTCATGTTCTTTTAAATCTTTCTAGTACATTTAATAAAACATAATTTTGGTGGAAAATAAATAGAAGGGTAGTAAAGATATTTTACATCCTAAAAACTGATCTCAAAGTATCAAAAGAATGTTTTTTTTATATATAAATGCCTTTATAATATTATTAAAAACATAAAATATCAATAAGATGTTTTAATATAACACACGCTAAATTGATTTTATCCTTAATCACTTGTATTAGTCAAATACTTTGATATATTAAAAAAATTATAGAAGTAAGCTACCATATTTTATTGAAAAGGTTACGTCTATCCTATGTTTTTAAGAAATTGCACAATCATTCTCTATATTTTTAATGTCATGTTAAAAATATCTTTACAAAATTTAGTGAAACTTAATTGTTAAAGACATTAACCAAATTGATTAACCTCATGGTTAAGATAGTCATTTTCTAATATTAAGTGTGAGAAGAATGTTTTTAACATGAAATTAAAATGTTTTTAACATGAAATTAAAAAGGCTTATTTGTATGGATGCCCCTGAAATTTTAGTTCATTAGAATTGTGCTCTCTGCATTTTTTTTTTTGGGACAAATTTTATAAATTCATCCTGAATTTTGTCACTTATGTCAACATGCTCCCTGAACTTTAAAATATACATGTTGTGCCTCCTGAGCTTTGTTACTTGTGTCAACATGCTCCATGAGGTTAACTCCATTAAGTTTTTTTAACGGAAATGCTTATAAACACCCCAAACTTTATCACTTGTGTCAATATGCTCCATGAACTTTAAAATGTACCTATTTTTCCCCTCGAATTAAGATAAGTCTCCAACTTTTCTCAGTCATCTTAATTCTATCAGTTTTTTGAACGAAAATGTTGATATGACTATTAAATTGCTAATAATATATGATATTTGACCATTGAAGTTTGTAAAGTTAATAGGTTTCTTAAGGTTTGTGTTGATATTTTTTTTTTAAAAAAGGTACAATAAAATAAATGATCTGAACACATTTAGATTTAGAAATGCGATATATGTATAAAACATAAACATATTTTATATCGAGCACTTTATCTATGTGAAATACTAAGAAAAAAAATACTAACAAAATTTATTATGTTATACAGATTTGCTTTTCATTTTTTTCCTCTTTATTTCCTTTAATCAACTAATGTTTTAAGAATTGGTGCTTGACTAACATTTTTAGAGGTGAATGTATTCAATAAACCTTAAATATCATAGATAATTAACAATTTAATAGTCATATCAACATTTCCGTGCAAAAAAATTGATAGAATCAAGATATAGGGGACAAAGTTAGAGACATATCATAATTTGGGGGGCAAAATAGGTACATTTTAAAGTTCAAGGGGCATATTGACACAAGTGACAAAGTTTAGGGGGTATTTATAAGCGTTTCCGTTAAAAACTTAATGGAGTTAACCTCATAGAGCATGTTGACACAAGTGACAAATTAACATTCACATTTTAAAGTTCAGAAGGCATGTTGAGACAAGTGACAAAATTCAGGAAGAATTTATAAAATTTATCCTTATTTTTTTTATTGTCAATTAGACATAGTGTGGCAAAGATCCCAAATAATTAAGATGTTAATAGGTGACTTGCATATAAGACGTTATTTAATGGCATGAGTTCTTGTTCTTATCTTTTTTAACCCAAATTTATTGGGGTTTAGGATCTTTAATTAACTTTTATCAAAATAAAATTTTTTTAACTAACTTCGTTTCAAAAATAAGTATGGGTTAAAGTTGATTACAAAATGACCATTCATGCCGTAAACTGTTCACTCAGTGCAAGTCACCTGTCCATTCTTGTCAAATGAATTAACATTGTTACTTGTTAGGGTGTTTTCTAGCCAATTTAAAATTTAAGAGGCTAATTATTACTATAAAAAAAAAAGAGTAGACGAGTAATAAAAAAATTTTTAACTAACTTTGTTTTAAAAAAAAATTTGGGTTAAAAAAAATGGCCATTCGTGCCCTAAACTGTCAACTCATGTGCAAGTCACATGTCCGTTCTTGTCAAAATAAATTAACATCGTTACTAGTTGGGGTGTTTGCTAGCCAATTTAAAATTTATGAGGCTAATTACGACTTAAAAAAAGGGAGGCAATGTTGCAGAAAAGCAAAATTAAAAAGACGTAGGTGATGATAACATTCCTTCAAACAGAGTAACGCATATTTTAATACACGGAAGAGATTTTATTTCTTATCACTACTTCAACTAATCACTTAATTATGATAATTTTGGTACATTAATCGTTATTTTTCGCAATTAGACAAATAAAATATGGTGGTTTTCAAACCAATTAATTTGCGAGTTAAAAATAGAAATTACAGAAAGGTTCAAATCGGGAAGTCTATCTTTCATTTGTTTATAGGAGATTCTCTGGTACGTCTGGTATACCGGTATGCCATGTTTTACGTAATCTTATGCATATCTGACAGACATAAAACCTGACCTACCGGTATGTTGACGTACCAGAAAAGGCCCCTTGTTTACGTGCTTTCTGTAATATTTTTGTTTATTACTAGTTACAAATTGTAAAAATTGTAACAAATAGATATATACATATATGTGTGCGTGTATTTGCGTATGTATTTTTATTTTAAATAAATCATGCTTTCATCTTCTCGATTTTAATTAGTTTAAATAGTCAATAGTTAGTTGTAGGAATCGCGGATTTATCCCATATATTTAGGCATTATTCTTATGCTGAACATGTCATGTTGTTAGTTACTTTTAGGTTGTAATCTCTCTATTTAAGGTATGAGTGAAATTTAAAAAGAGTATGGATGATTAGTTGTGATATTTTGTATATAAAGAGGTTTGGGTTCCCTTGAATAGGCTCACCTGAATGATCTTACATCTATCCTTTATAATCATTAGTTACGGGTCCGTAACATTTGATATTAGTCTGGCATGAAGAATCTTCGCGTGCGTTTGATTTAAGGATCTGTGCCATAATTCGAATCATGATTCGTAGCTCACTACAGTATTTTTTTTCACAAAAAATACATGTAAATCGAGAATGATTCTGAATCATGATTCAATAATTGCCTATCACTTTTGTGTTGGAATGATTGAAGCAATCACTTATAGGCTGGATTTACAAGATGCAATGGTGAAGTCGCCAAAGTGTTGAATATTGACAATCGAGATAGGCCTAGAAAGCGCTACCACCGAGTCAGTGTTAAAAACGTTGATCGTCGTGGGCGTCGATTCAGAAGCTTGGTGGAATGTCACAATAATAAATCTTTGCTTTCAATAATTTATATTTTATTTATTTTACATAGTCAATAGTTAGTTGTAGGAATGATGGGACTTTCCCATATTTTAGGTGTTATCCTTTTGTTGAACATTTCATCTTGTTAGTTCTTTACTTTTAGGCTGCAATCTCTCTGTTTAAGCCAATGGAATCTGAAAAAAGTGTGGATGATTATTTTTTTTTTATACTTGAGAGGTTCAGTTCTCTCGAATGAACCTATCAATGGAGGTCGAGACTGATCTCCTAAATGAATCTACATCTATCCTTTATTTTCATAATTAGTTAAGGTCATATTTGTGAATATGCAATGTATACACATACGAATTCATACCAATTGGATTTGAAAGTTTTTTTTTTTTTTTTTTTTTTTTTTTTTTTTTTTTTCTTCGAGTTAATTATGCGTAACCTTATCTAATTAAACTTCTGATTTTAAAAAAATGGAAAAATAATGGCTAAGCTATAAGTGTATATGAGTCTGACTAAAATATAGGAGATAGATCGTGTAAATCTTTGGAACGTTATGTATTTTCTTTTTTGTTTCATTATTATTAGTTATTACTACTATTAAGAGGTGTGCTCTTTTTTTCCGGCTTTGTGGACTCTTATTATCACTTTGAATATAACTTGTTTTATTGTGAAGTTGTTAGATCAGGACCAAATTCTTGAGAGAATATCTCTCAATTTGTATTTACAAAAAAAAAAAAAAAAAAATAATAATAATAATAATAATAATAATAATAAAATCTATTAAACTCTCACTTTGTCGTTTAAAAGATAGAATGTTTTATCACATATTTGTATTTCGAATTTTCAATTCATAATCTCTCTCTCTCTCTCTCTCTCTCTCTCTCTCTCTCTCTCTCTCTAACTACCGACTATACAAAACAACTGATTGGATAATTGCCCTAAATAAAATACTGATTTTTTGACTATAAATATGTAAAGTGCATCTGAAGACTGTACTTGTCTACGGAAAATATCTGCGCCTTTCTTTTCTTTCTTTGAAAACCCTAGCTTTACTCATCACCATCATGATGAACGAAAAAGACCACAAGAAAATGACAAACGACCAAGATTTGATCGACGAGGAAGACTTCCTTGCTCTCACGCTCTCTCCTCCGGTCAGCCGCCCTCGACCGCCGCTGCCGCAGCCGCAGGCCCAGTTGTTCCAAAACCCACAACTGCAGCCATATCTCTATCATCATCAACCATCGCAAAACCTTAATTTTCTGCCGGCTTTCGCTCCTGCCCCGCCACCGCCACAGCCGCCACGTCCCGTCCAGGAACAGCCTTCGGCCCGCCAACCAGCCCGGTCTTCAGCTCGCACTCGCCGCAACGCCGCCCAGCCGCTCCGTCCTGGGAAGAGCGAGACCGTCCCGGTGCTCTTCCCGTGGGCCACTCCGCGCCGCGCCACCGTGCAAAACCTCGACTACTTATTGTCCGCAAAGATAGAGACGATCGCCGGCGAGGTGCAGTGCAAGCAGTGCCAGCAACGGTTCCAGTTGGAGTACAACCTAGCGGAGGAGTTTGGCAAGCTGTGGAAATTCATTGCGGATAAGAAGGCGGACATGAAAGATCGGGCGCCGAAGGAGTGGGAAAACCCGGAATTTCCAGACTGCATGTACTGCGACCAGAAGGGCGCCGTTAAGCCGGTTGTGGCGGAGAAGAAGAGGGAGATAAATTGGCTCTTCTTGCTTTTGGGACGGTTTCTTAATTGTTTGACGCTTGATCAGTTGAAGTACTTCTGTAAGCACACTCGGAATCATCGCACAGGTGCCAAAGATCGGGTTCTTTATCTTACTTATCTGGGTTTGTGCAAACAACTTGATCCCTCTGGGCCTTTTGACGCTCTCGATCGCTAAGAAGATTATATCATATATATATATATATATATATATATGATTTCTTTAAAATTGTTATTCAATTTCAGTTAATATAAACATATAGATTGTATGTTCAGTGTTTATGCTCTCGGTCGACCTTGATTTCTTTTGCGTGCTACGTTTTGATTCAATAGAATTTTGATTTCTCTACTTTTGTAAGGATTGAATAGAAAATTTACCTTTTTTTTTTTGTTATGATTTCGGTAGTTTGTGCAGCTTTCTTTACTCTCTTTCTTTATTTTATATTTTTATACAGTGATCATGAAAGAAAAAAGATTACAGAAGATGTTATGATCCTTTTCAAAGAAAAAGAAAAAGAAAAAAACCGATGTTATAATCTCCTGAAAATAAGTTATGGATTGTGTCTGATATTGTCACGATTGTTCATCGACATTCGTTTAAAAACATCAGGTTACTATTTACTAAGCCAATGATAATAACGTTAATAATTTTCTTGAGACTGTATAATTACTGTATCAAGATCACCTTTTAACAAATAGGTTCTCTATGTTTACAACATATATATTGATTTTATGTTGTGTTTAGTCTTTTAAATGAAGATGAATTTATGCCTTATTTCCGTCTAAATTTGGAAAGAAAAGATATTAATCTTTTCGAGTTTAAGGTAGAAATACCAGACAATATTTAATTAAATTGCAAATACTTTTTTGTTGCGCATATTTGCTCTTTCTTAAACTGGACCCATGCAATATGTTTTACGCTTGTCAATGCAATTTTATGTCAGCAATACTTTTTCATTTGGTTGGTCCTGGATATTGGCTGTTAAAGTGGATTTTAAAGACCTTATAAGTACATTGTTACGTACAGTACGAATTATCATCAGTTTTCAGAAAGAATATATAGAACACGAAAGTGTTTGGTGTACCGTGTCTAAGCCTTAAACGTGCTCGGACAATTTATTCATTTATTAATTAACTCTAGTCAAAACGGGTTCAGATTTTATTGGCTCCATTTTTTCTATTTCAGAAACTGTCTCTCTACTAATTATTTATCATATCATTTAAATTTAAGAATATAACTACATAAATAAGAAGGAAATACTAAAAATACTTGAAGCAATTCACGAGGAGTAAAATATTAATTAATGGGAAGACAGAAAAATGGAACAACAAATCGTGATTCAGTAAAAATATATTCCTTTCATAAAGGGTTATTTTAAGCCACAGACACGTGTTTGTGTATTGTTACTTGTGTTCTAATCAAAGAAAAATCCTTTTACTCTATTCCTTTTTTAAGGGGTGATATTACTTTTCTTTTTTTCAGGGACTCGTAAAATTTGACTTATTAGTTTACTTAAAAAAAATTTCAACAGAAAGGAAATTCCTTTAAAACATGTAACAAATGAAAACAAAAAGTTTTATTCGTGTCAATTTCTAGCATTAAAAATACGTAGCACGTAGATATATTAAGCAAATACGCATGTTAGCAATGTCACAGGTTTCAATCTTAATTCAGGAAGCGTTTACAGCGCACTTGTTTTAGTATTTTTCATAAAACTGGAAACAATTAATATGAGTGAATCAATGTTCTTATATTGTCCCAACAATTTTTTTTTTTTTTCCATGAAAGGTCCCATAAATATATTCCACTGATCATAAGAAAGAATAATGCTCAATTTTAATCCCAAATTTTATACCAATTCATAAGTTATCATTAAAGTTTATTGGTAAAGACACAAATCACACTTCTTTTTCATTATAAATTTATTCCAACTTCCATTTATCATATCACAGCATATATATTTTTAAGGCTGGGAATCTAGAATTCATGAAGTACTCTTTGCCGAACCCCTTTTTGGGTACATGGATTTTGATTTCCAATCATGGCGGTTATAACTTGGTTAGATCCGTGTAGCAAATCTCTAATTTAGGGTTTTAGAAACTTAAATCTTAGCCTAAGCTATAACACTTCTAAAAGCACGCCTAATTCGAGCATGTAAAAAATGGACGTGATGATATGTAGATGTACAACGCAAAATATTTAGGCCGTGTTTGGAATTGATCCCGTTTTTGTTTTTCACGTTTTTTGAGAAAAAAAAATGAAAACGTTTTCAAAACGGTATTTGGCGCAATAAAGACAAAAAACGGAAGAAACGAAAAATGACTTTTAGTTGTTTTTCATTTTTTGTTTTCGTTTTCTCCTCTCTCGAGTAGAGAGAGAGAGACATTGATGGGTTTTTTTATACTGAAAATAATCTCTTGATAAAACTACCAAACGCATTTTCAAAAATGATTTCTGTCTGAGATTGAAAACGTTTTCATTTTCATTCATACAAAAAATAAAATCATTTTGGAACGAATTCCAAACACATCCTTAGTCACCCATTTTGTGAACTTACACGCCCACAAAAGTATAGATGACGGTATGAGGATATTTAGTATGCCACATCAATATATTTAAGACAAGTGGGAGATTTTGAAATTGATTCCCTAAAGAATTTACTTTCAAGTAATTCGAATTTATTCACAATTAAAATTATTTATCACCATAAAAAGAAAATACTATTTATTCCTTTGAAGCCAGTTGTTTGTGTAATCTAATTAGAGTTGAAGATGTTTAATTAGGTATTCGGTTAGCTTGTAAATTTATAATAATGATATAGAAGCATATTAATCCCTAATTATCTACAATTCTGCATAGTAACTTCTCTTTTACATTCATAAAATAAACGTATGGTTGCTAGAGGAATTATAAAGCATCCAAAAATACGATATGATACTTTGTATAAGGAGTGTATATTAAGCGTTCATATGTAAAATATACGGTTATGTTCTAAACTAGAAAGTCTACAATTCAAAAAAACAAAAACAAAAACAAAAAAACAAAAAACAAAACAAAACAAAAGTTTGGATCGAGCGATGACTTACCTACCATCAAATTGGTTGGACTTATGTTCAAATATCCCTGCTTGCAGAGATTCTTTTTGTCTTCTAATTGGACATACATGCAATTGACTCAAGATCTAAAACACAAGGTAGGGGCAAAAAAAGGCCCAAAAAGTAAAGAAAAAAAGAGCCCAAAAAGTTTTTTTTTTTTTTTTTTTTTTAAAGTTTTATGTTTGATATGATGGATAGAAAAAAGAAAAAAAGAGAAGTAAAATATTTAGGTGAATGAAGTAAAATGGTTTTCTCTTTTATTGTTTGGTAGAAGAGAAAGAAAAGTAAAAAGAAAATGTCAAATTTAAGGTATTTTACAATAGGGAAATAGTAGAAAATAGGTCAATATGAAAAGCTTAAGAAAGTATATAGGCTAATTTTTAGTTATAGAAATTAATAGGCCATAACTTGTCAAGTTATGGTTCATAACCAAATAAGTTATGGACAAACTTGTCAAGTTATGGTTCATAACCATATAAGTTATGGACAAACTTGTCAAGTTATGGTTCATAGCCAGACAAGTTATGGACAATAACTTATCAAGTTATGGTTTATAACCAGACAAGTTATTGACGAAAACAGTAATTTGGCCTATTTATTAACTTATGTAAACTATTGGCCTATTAATTTTAATTCATCTCAAGTCTTGACATATTTTCCTCTTTCTCCCTTTACAATAAGACCCCAATACAAATAAAAATATAATGAATGGTAAATGTTAAAATTGTTATTTTACATATCTTTTTTTGTCAAACTTTTTCTCCAATTTTCTTCCCAAAGTTAGAAGGAATAAAAGTTGGTAGGCCTTGTGAATTTTTATTTTCCTTCCTCATTTCCTCTCTACCAAACAACCTAAAATTCTATTTTTCTCTACAAAATCCTTCATCTATTTTCTTTCCTCTCTTTTCTACCATACCAAACACATTGGTAATGAAAGGGTAAAATACCCTTGTGAGGAAACTCTTTATGAAAAGTTTGTAAATACCAAGAGAGAAACTTAAGCCCCGTTCATTTCACCAATTTAAATTTAAATTTTAAATTTTACTACAGTAAAAAAACTCTCAGAAACAATCATATTTAACTTTTTTATTACAATAAAAGAACTCACATAAAATCACATCTCAACTTAAATTAAAAATTTAAATCAATAAACTAGACAGATCCTTATTCTCTCTTAGTAATGCAGTAAAGATTGGATAAGACCATTGAGATTTGTAATAATTTCGAAATCAAATCTTAATCAATCCTCAATGATTGATGTATTCATACTCGTGAATTATATTCTCTGCAAAAGTCGGTGAACAATAAAATTTAACTTTAATAATTTTTGTGTTTCTTTATTTTGAGTAGCCAAACATTATTGTCTATGATATTGCGAAAATAAAGTTACAATAAAAATTATTAGTAAAAAAAAAAAAAAAAAGTTAATAAAATTAGTAAACAAAACAATAAAGGACAAACAAAGAATAGAGGAAAGTTGTCCAGGGGGAAAGCAGCACTGCTCGCGACATAAACCGTCTTGATTTGTGAAGAACACCTTCATAACCTAGGGTGCATTGTCATGGAGATTGCCTTCTAAAGAAGATATTGTTAGGAGGTAGAAAAGGACCTCTCTTTTCTTTTTCCTGTCACAACTCCGGTTTTACTATCGGAAGTCTCGGATGAATCAAGGTCGCCGTGTAAATTGTTACCGTTGACAAAACTCCCCGAAGTGCACGGTCGCAGTCCGAAATTGTCCCTAATTAGAATAGAGTCTGCATTCGGCAAAACTTCATCAAGAGCTTTATAAACGCTTGGACGAGTAATGCACAGCCATCTTCTTTCAGACTCTTCATTGCTGTCACCTGCTATAGGAACATGCCATGTTCCTTTTTCTGATTCCTGAAACATAATTTGGCACATCAGCACTCTATATTAAGAGTTCAAATGAGACCAGTTTCTTTATAAGGACCCTAATAAGTAAAACAGTAAAAGTAATGAGCACTAATCAATCGGCCATCTAATTTTAGGTCATTTCCACTTTTGTCTCTGAACTTTAAAAATTCCATCTTTTCCCTCGAAATTTTAGATTAGTCATGATTAATTGCTTATGTTAGAATTTCTGTTAAAACAGGCTGGAGAAAAAAGGATAGTGCAATCGCGTAGTCTTTATGTTAGAGTTTCTGTTAAAAACAAACGAAAAAAGACCACGTGACCACACATGACCCCATCTTTTTATGTTTGTTAACGAAAAGGGTTAAGCGGGACTAATTCAAAATTTATTGGCAAAGTGGGAGATTTTAAAGTTTGGGCGGTAAACTGAGAAGGATCCTAAAGTCCAAGAGGCACGTATGAGATTAAGCCTAATTCTTTTAAATGGATGAAAGGTGCATCACTAAGGACAGTTGCATTCTTGTCGAGACGTTATCACAGCATGAGCTCTACATGTACTATCTGCTCAGCGGTCATAAAATACAAATTTGGTCATCATTTGAAGAGTCATTATAGCTGCATTTCCGAATCCAAGACTTTTGTGAGGGGTGTCCCATGGTCTGCATCATATGATGCAGAACATTGTCTTTAAATACGAGATTCAACTAGACATCTTATCAATTATAACTTCAATAAAAAACGTGATCAGTTATGACAGCGCACAACCGAACCAACTCTGAGATGTGATTACCTAGAAATCTGCATGGTAGCGAGAACCCAAGGTACCAGATAATCTGTATACATATAATATTCTTCGTTTTCTTAAAAAAAAAACCTTCCTAATTTTTTATTTTCAGTCTCTCCACTAGGTAATTAGAACAACTAATAAGGATCTGACGAGAAAGAAAAATGCTAGGAGGATTCGCACTGCTGAAGAAGAAACTCCTTTTCTCAAATCATCTACAGTCAATCGAAAGAGCATTGATCTTGAGGAGTGCTAATCTAAAATATCTATAGAACAATATCTTTAAATATAGTTTAACTTATATGTTACATTCCAATTGCTCCTTCTAGATCAAATTAATTAACTTCGGACACCATGTTCTCCATAATGTGATTTCCAAATTTCTAAATGATCTCCATCTGCTGATACATCTAAGTAAAACAACTGAAAGGATGTTTTAATATTGGAACGAGTAATTCACAATAAAAGTTCAGGACAGTAAGCTCATAGTTTCAGCGGCTAAAACAAGAATCTAAACAAAGTCTTGAACACAAAACACACCATCTATATTGTCACATAAATCTAAAAGACAGAAATGGAAATTTGATAATCAAACGCGGAACATGCAACTAGAGATAAAACCATAAAGACCAAGTATAGTTGTCACCTGGATGACTGACGAATATGGGGGTGGCATCTGAAGTTTCAGATTACCTCTAACAAAAGTGTATCGGACCTACATCAGAGGAGCAAAAAATAATAATTAGATACAAAATGCAACCACCAGCAACACACAACGCGATCTTGGAATAGTCAAGTTTCAAAAACAGCTAAAAGCACTGTTGGCATTTAAACTTTTTTCTACAGAGAGAAATTAGTATCTACTACCAAGGATATATGGCATGTCACAAGGATAACAAGAAACATGAGGCATCAGAAGAAAGTTCTCAGGCAGCAAATACCTGATGCCTTTCTTTCCACTTGAGAAAGAAATTGCTTCCTAAGAGTTCAAAAATATGATCCCGCATCTCATCATTTGTCACAAGCAAGCACCTGAGTTTTACTGTGGCATACAGCCAATACCTGAATCACAAAAAAGATTGTGAGGATATTCGAAACATAAGAGCAGTACTAATAGAGGCTGTTCAAAAAGGGACAAAAAGCTATGTGGTTATATCATAAAATAAACATCCAACTCTGAAAAGATGAGGTATAAACATTTAGTTCAGGATTTACAAAACACAAAGCTTTTGTTTTCAAAATAAACATCCAATTCCACCAACTTGGTGAACATTCATGCCAATGAAAGATATGCCACCAGAACTTGTAGAAGATGAGAAAAGGATAATATCGTCACAGGTTCTAGGACAAAGGAATATTTTCCAACAAAAGGATTGCACAGTAATAAAAAGTTTATATCCCAGATTAAGGAAACATTAAAATAAAAATAAATAAATAAACAGCTTAGTACGTGGTTTCTTACCAATCATCGTTGGATCCACTGGGTGTAGTATAGAGAATGCCTTTGTCGATCCACTCATCTACCAAGTTTCTGTTAGAAGGATTTTCCAAAAGTGCACGAGAACGCTTATTGTGCAAGACAACAAGTGGCCATTTCTTTCCACTTTTATTATACAGTTCTTTGATAACGGCATCAAGCTGCTCTATTTTGAAATATAACCATAATCAATCATGCAATGTAAACATTACCAAAACAAAGCAGAACAAACTTAAATAAATACATGAGAGTTACAACCTGAGAGACACTGAAACCACCATCAGCATAATTTTGCTGATAGAGGCCAACATTTGCTCCATCCACAATAGCTTCATAATCAGCATTTTTGTCGAGCCAATCCTGCAACCAAGTAATGAAAAGTTTTTAAAAGCATGACATATTTCTAATGTGGAAGTTGGAAGAGACAAAGAAGAACATATGGGTAAAATTTTTTCCAACAAAGTAAAAATTGAATCAAAATGTATAAATTTAGCCAACATATAAAAAGACACTTTACTTTTTTATTGGTAAAGATTTGAATATGCATGTAAATGATAGAATGCTTCCAAGAGCGTGCTCAAAAGAAAAAAGAAATGTTAATACTAGGATATTTAGAATACAACTTTCACCAAGTTTGGGAAATTGAATAGTTCAATATTTGAGATTTGCAATCATATGTTATTTTTGAGTTTTGACCAAGACATGGTGACTACCAAAGCAAGCGTATAAGCTGCAAGTCTGCAACTCATACAGAGGGAAATGAAGATATGAAATCCGTCCTGATGGTAGAAAAAATATTTTAATAACCTTCCAAACATCAACATGTCCCTCAGTAACTTTGGAAAATATTAACAGAATTACTAAAAAAGAAGCACTAGCGTTTAGAACATGTATAAGCAATCCAACATCCAACCACAGATCTCATCCCTATAAAATTTGACCCTGATATTCTTTGTTAAAAAAATTAAAACAACAATAATACGACTCTAAGCAGCAATACAGGATTACCAGACAATAAACTCAATAACCAATGTGTTGGCACCGATTGACAGCATCACTAAGTGATGAGCCCAAAGTTATTCAGGGCCCGTTTGGAACCGTTTGGAAGATGGGTTTAAACTAGGTGGTTTGAACCAGAATTCAAAGGTGTGCTCTTTTTACAACTCAAGCTACAACTCAAACTTTTTTATGTGTGAGAAAACACTAGCTAAAAAGTTGAATTTGAATTTTTATGAGAGAAAACACTATGATAATACTATAGAACTTGAGTTATGAAAAGAACAAGACCCAAATTAGCGGTAACTTTTTAAATTCAAATTTTTTGCGAGAAAAAACACCGTAACAGAAACAAAATCATGGGTTGAAACCCATATTCCAAACAACCGTTCAATTACTTTTCAACTACAATTTCAGCAAATTCAGTAAGATTTACTCTGATATTCTATATGTTTATAGATCAATAAGGCAAAATAAAGTAAAACTCATAGGCAGCATAACAAACAGAACGAATTCCACAAAACTCTTACTCACCTGAAACTCGCTAAAATTCGACTTGGCCTCCCTCTCCATCGCCAACGCCGCCACCGCCTGCGCAAACCGCTCGGTCTCCTCATCATTAATGTCGACACAGAACAACTTCTCGCCGCAACAGCAACACTGCCCACTCGAATCAACACTCGCCCTCCTCACAACCCACTCGCCTTTCCCGATCCACCCCCGGCCGTGCCACCCTCCTCCGTTCCTCGAAACCGCCTCTCGGATTTCCCCCACGTCCCAATTCACCTCACCCACCTCACAAGCCTTCTCCCCATGGAACCAGTCCTCAACAATCTTTGCCGTCGATTCGCTCACGCACCGCACGGCGCTTCTCAGCTTATGCAAATACTCATAAACCTTCTCCCCTCTCCCCGTCTCCGAGCTGACCCTCAGCAATGCGGCGATCTCGGGTTCCTCCGGACTCACCCCCGCCGCAGCCATGTGCTCCTCGACCTCATACGCCTTCTCGGCCTCCGATTTCTCGACGAAGCAGAACAACGCCGGCTCGTACGTCCTTAATCTCGGCAGGGCATTGTGCTTCCCCATCATGCTCCTGACCAGCTCGAAAGCGTAATCGCCGTCGGATTTGGCGGCGGCGAGACGGGCGACGGCGGTGATGGCGGCCTCGCTGGGGGAAACCCCGGCCGACGACATGCGGTCGAATATGCGGAAGCCATTGAGGAGGGCGAAATCCTTGAGGGATGGGTCGGAGACGGAATTGGAGCAGAGGTAGAGGAGGGCGTTGAAGTGGTGGTGGTTGAGGCGGGTGCCGTTGGAGATCGCCGATTCGACGAGGGAAATCGCACCGCGCAAGTCTTTGTTCTTGGAGCAGAGATTGAGGTCCAAGTGGAACTGGGATTCTGGGGTTTGATTCTTCTTCTTCTTCTTCTTTGGAGTTCCCATTTAGTTAGTATGAGAAGACAAGGTTTAAACTTTAAACCCTTTCCTGGTAAAATAGGGTTTTTGTAGCTTGTGTTGTGTTTAGCGGTCCGACTAACTTTAATTTTGGGAGAAAGTTATTGAATTTCCGTGTTAATGAACTTCCGTTAAAATTAAATGGATTTTTATTTCCCCAAACAAAAAAAAACAAAAAAAAAAGGGATTTTGGTCACTTGTTTTGCATGTGACCTTCTTTCAAGGGATTAGTTGTCCTTTTGAAAATACATTTTTTTATACAAACAAGAAAAATTAAAGAAATAAAGAAAAAAAAAACTTACTCATAAAATTTAATTGTTGTAATGAACATAAAATTAGCTAATCAAACCCTAGTCGTCAGAGTTCTAGAGAAAGGTTCTCTGTAATAAGCTTAGAGGAGGAGTTCTCTAAGGTCAGCGGTCCGACTATTCATTGGGATGCCGACCTCCAAAGTTCATCAAAGAGATCGCAGAGGTCACTGGCGTCGAGTTCGTACCAATGGAAGTGTGGATAGTCACTAAAATGGAGTTGTTTAAGGGGATCGAGACAGGTTTGCCATGAAATTTCATTGAAACTCCGGGAACTAGATCATGGAAAGAGGCAAGGAAGATGGTCTGAAGCGTGTGGCAATCGCCGCTCGTTGGTGGCGGCACGTGGGTCCTATGCGCCGCCGTGTCTCCGTGCTTTTGTTGCCATTTCAAGAGCTTTTCCTTGGCACCACTTTCTACCGTGTTTCAAACACCTCCGGTGTTGAGGGACTCAATTTTACTGGTTTGATTTATTGGAATCGTCGTAGAGTTTTTTTTTCTTCTGTTTTTATATTTTATGTCTTTATTTGTGTTGTAATAACAGTGATGGTGTCCACATCTACCGGCATTAGGTCTTGGCTAGAAGGTGGTCTCTCCACCGCTCTAAGTCCGACTTATGTAGTCCATGTTGGGACTGAGATGTAGTTTATCTGGAGTCATTTTGAAGTGGCCGAATCCTGTCATAGTGCCACTAGTTGGATGAGTTCTCTCCGTTAGGGTAATGGGTGCGTTTTTATTGTCTAGTCATGTGAGCAGCATCCAGTTCTTAACTCTGATTTTGTCATGTATCTTAACCCTTTAGTGGCTTTTTAATGAAGCTATGCTATTGCCTTTTTTAAAATAAAAAAAAAATCGATTGTTAAGATTTTTAATTTAGAAATTGAATTGCTAAACACGTAAAGTTCAAAGGGCATCACAAAAAAAAAAAAAAAAAAAAAAAAAAAAAAACCCCTCTAAGCGTCATCCCTCTAAAGAAGTTGCAATTACATGTGTTAGAAATTATAGTGTGTAGCATATTTTCTAAATTTAAAATAATAAATAGCATAACTATTTTAATTTGTAGTAAATAACTCATTTTTTTTAATTTGAATTTGTTTTTCCTATTTTACCCTGAAATTACCCCAAAATTGGAGAACCTAAATCCTTAAAGGACCCGTTTAGTTCGCTAATTCGAGTTTTTAATTTGAGTTGAGATGTGACTTTATGTAAGAGCTTTTTACTGTAACAAAAAAGTTAGATGTGATTGTTTCTGAGAGCTTTTTACCGTAGCAAAACTAAAATGTTTATCCCTCTCTCAACACGTTATTTTTGTCTTTCTCCTTGTTGGTGCTCTTTCTGGGCTCTCTCTCCCCCTTGCATTTTCTCTCTCTGTCTCTCTCTTCCTCTCCTTTGCTTGCTCTCTCGCTCACACATATGGCGACATCTGCAATCTGTCAACTGTTGCTAAATCTTCGTGTCGTGTCGTGTTGATGTTGGCCAACATTCTCTGCGTCATCGATTTTGAGCCATGTCACCCTGCCCTCGGCCATCGTCCTCCATGACACCGATCTGTCTTTGAGTTTGCTTATTTATGAAATGGAAGTGGTGAGAACTGAGAGTTCAATAGAAAAGATAGGAGAGAGAGAGTGTGTGTGCAAGAGTTTTTTTAAAAATTTTAATTTTTTTAATATAAAATATGCTATTAATTTCAGTAACTCTAAATTTCTGTTATAAATTTAGGAGTTTCTTCGTAGTCTGTCTTACTGGAAATCTCAATTTTTTGATCTTTAAATATGACCAAAATCATATCATATTAAAAAATATAAATAGATAAATTCTAATATAAATCTGATGGTTGAAAAATATAATAATACTAATAATCTATTTTTGCTAAATTTTTATAATACTCTATGATTATGCTATATGCCTCGTTGTCCCTTAAATGATAGGAATAAGGGAGAAAGAGAAAAATAGGCCAAGATTGAGATGGATTAAAATTTATAGGCCAATAGTTTACATAAGTTAATAAATAGGCCAAATTATTATTTTTGTCCATAATTTGTCTGGTTATAAACTATAACTTGACAAGTTATTGTCCATAATTCACGGTTTTTGTCCATAACTTGTCTGACTATGAACCATAACTTGACAAGTTTATCCATAGCTTATTTGATTATAAACTATAATTTGACAAATTATGACCTATTAATTTTTATAACTAAAAATTAGTCTATATACTTTCTTAAACTTTTCATATTCACCTATTTTCTACTATTCTGTAAATGATATTAGATGAAATCCTACCGGCCAAGCCCATTAACAACGAGCCCATCTAGTTATTAGCCAAGCCCAACAATACTATTTCATCACTCGAACAAATTTTTTTTTTTTTTTTTTAAATATAGTAATAAACTAGGTGTGACTGTGCGTTTCACTTTATACCATTAGATTAAAAAAAACACAAATAAACATCTTACATCTATTTAAACGGCATTTAATTTGTTGATTTAAATTTTTAATTTGGGTTGAAATGTGATTTTATGTAAGTGTTTTTACTGTAGTAAAAAAATTAAATATGATTATTTCTGATAATTTTTTATGGTAACAAAATTTAAATTCTAAACTCAAATCAGTGAGATGAACGGAATCTTAAAAACCCTTCTTCATCTTCTTTTTGTTCTTCTTTTTCTTCTTCATCGAAGCTCCTAACTCTCATGCAAACGTCGTCAGTGACTGATTAAAACCAAGCCGACGAAGATCGGCCACCGAACCGCCAGTTTCTTCTTTTATCGGTTGGTGCTCGATTTCTCTTTTTCTAAAAACTGAAGATGTCGGTTGGTAAGTAAACCAACAGGAAATTGTCGGTCATCGACTGATGTACAACCCTATAGATAAATTCCACTTGACCTAGGATCAGATCCGATTTAACTTCAAATTTGTATTTCTGATGATGAAAATTTGCAATTTTAGCTCATCCCAGAATTCTATATGTCAACTGCAATACCGTGCGAACAGATGATTGACACTTTTTGACAGACGAATTGAGATAAATTTGAACTCCCAAAAGGTTATCTATGAAAATCCGAATTTAATCTGTATAATCTCCGGGAAATCAATCGGATATGTATGAAACACATCCAATTGATCATGAATAAACATAAACACATTACGAACAAAATCAACTCCGTACATTTGGTTTAGAATCCAATATCTTATCCTAATCAAATCAGCCCAAAAATATCAAAAGTAAAACTTTGAAATAAATTACACAAGATAATATAAACCTGTAGCTAATTAAGCAAAACCCGAATTTAAACACAAACTCGAGCTTATCAAAACTTCAGATTTATCAAACAAATTCAGCAACATTTAAATTAAAATTTTTCATAATCAACGTGCCAATAAAAAGTTGGATTAGAAATCCTAACAACACGTATATATATTAAAACATACTTCATATCACTTACTAATTTCGTAAGAACTTTATACGATTGAATACGAGGAAATATAACGTTGCAAAAGTAGTACTAAAATTGCTAGAAGCGCTCAAAAGTCCATGCAATCCATAATGCGCATGTCGCCCAGTCATCTAAAATATCGAGATCTTTGATTGTATAGCTTTCTCTTTTCGTGAACTACAAGTAGACATATTTTATTCTAAGTGACCAAGTTAGAATATTAATGTTAGCTAACTATATATATGTTTTGCTGCACAGAGAAAAATAAAATGCAACTGAACAGTGGAAATCTACTCCTAACCACCTCCTTATGTCGTCAACGTCACAAGACTATATATATATATATATAATATATATATATATAACCTCTCGAATTCCAAGCAAAAGGCCTACTGTAAAATCTTTCGTTGATATATTAAAGGGAAATAGTAGAAAATATGCCAATATGAAAAGCTTAAGAAAGTATATAAGCCAATTTTTAGTTATAGACATTAATAGGCCATAACTTGTCAAGTTATGGTTCATAACCAGATAAGTTATGGACACCATAACTTGACAAGTTATGGACAAACTTATTAAGTTATGGTTTATAGCCAGACAAGTTATGGACAATTATGGGCAATAACTTGTCAAGTTATGGTTCATAACCAAACAAGTTATAGACGAAAATAGTAATTTGGTCTATTTATTAACTTATGTAAACTATTAGCCTATTAATTTTAATTCATCTCAAGTCTTGGCTTATTTCCCTCTTTCTCACAATATTAAATGGGTAGCCTTTGAGCAAAAAGGGTTTGAGTTTTTTTTTTTTTTTTTTTTTGAGAAAAGAGACAAATATCTTTAGAGTGCATGGATGATGAGTCTAGATTTTTACTCATTGCTCTTGATTAATATCATTTTTAGCCAAATAATTATATTAATTAAAAGGGTATTAATTAAAAATAATAACTAAAAATTCAGACTCATGCACTCTAAGAATAAGTCCAACAATTTTCTCTTATTTTTTGTTTCCTTTCAAATATTTGTACTATGTCTTATTAAATTTTATGGTTAATCCCATTATTAGTATCTAAACTATTGGAAAATTTTCATTTTCATATCTCTGTTTCTTAAAATGTCTCAAAATGAGTCATTGATTTATGAAATTGTCTCAAATAAGTCTTTTAATCCATCCTAATGTTAAAATCTCGGGGGGGAAAAAAAAGAACCATATGCTGCTGAATGAAAATTTAATTTTGTACTTTTGCATTTAAGGGCATTATCATGTCGTGCCTTCTTTTGTCGAGCCTTTAACAGTCGTATGA